TCACAACTTCGTTGAGGAAATCGTTGTATGGGAACGTTTAATGAACAAATAGGAAAGTGGTCTNGAAGAACCGAGAGAGAGTTCACAAAAATTTGTTCCATACCTCTTTATGGTTTTGAATATTCCTAAGGAAAAAGGTTTTGATATCCAACGGGTTGGTAGGATAAGGATAATAATTTTTCTTCAGAACACAATATCGATAGGACACAGTATATTAATCGGACACAATATTCGTAGGACACAGTTTTAAAAGTGACGGCGGATGAACGACTCCCCCGAGAAGGAGAAGGAAGGGGTTTTTATAAGTTCGATGTGGGAGAATGGTCATGTGACCAATTGTTGTGAGGTAAATGGTACGCGGATGGATCAAAGTTGTTCCCGGGCCCATGCTAACTATCAACTTTGGAGTTGGAATGTGGGATTAGTTTCGAAATGGACGGATGTTTACTTTAAACGAAAGGGGAGATCGGAATTTTTCCATTTTTTTAAGTTAGATTTTAGTTTAGAATTTAAAGGAAAATTAAATCGGAGGTTTAGGAAACTGCGGGATATTAATCGGAAAATTCGGTAAAAATTCCGGATTTCACATTCACTCCCTGTTTTCTTTAAAATCGCACTTAGTAGTGTGATTTTAACCTTTCTGACTGTTTGTCTGCGAAGAGGTATGTTTACATAGAGAATGGTCCAAACGACCCTTTGCTGTCTTTTTTTCTGTTTCTCTCTTGGCACTAGATAAAAAATTCTTTTCGGTTACATTAAAATGCCGCGTCCAAATAAAAGTGATAAAAGAAGCCGATGTGAAATATAACACTTTGGTTATACAAATGAATCCCGGCACGTGCCCTTCGCGACAATATGTATGACTCGAGGTGGGAGGACGGGTGTCTTCGAGCTGGGGTGGTTGATTGGTCAGTTGAAGTTCCCGTTGACCTGGATAGGAAAGTATTGGTCAAAGTTCGTTAAGGTTGAGATGGTCCTTTTTCTTGGAGTTCTTGGTTTCGTCGGCTGGATTTTTGTGTGCACGATGTTGTTTTATCAACTATATAAAACTTTCCAAGATGCTACCGGAAAGTATTTAATGATTGGAAGATTCGTAGGTAAGTGGTTGTTGATATTTTGTAGCGGCGAGCGGGTTAGAACTTCTTGTGCGATGGGTTGAGTGGCACTTCGAAGTGTTAGAATAGTTGAGGAGTCACGTGCGTCGGAAGTCTTCGGCTTAAGAGGTGAAAGTAGCACTTTTCTTTAAAACATTAATAAAACTAAATGATAATGTTAAAATAGTCACTGTTTTCACGTAGAGGTATACGGAGGTTATATATACGATTATATTTACTCTCTCTCGGATGTTAAAATTCTAAATTTAGGATATATATATATATATATATATATTTAAATCTACAATTATATTATGAAAAAACTT